GCACCCTAATTAAAATCGTAAAATTTCTGACAATGGGCACCGCCATTCACTCCAACTATCACCCCTGCACCGCTGACCCCTCATTCCAAAAGGATCTGTGCTGGTTGGGCGACATAACAGGTTACCGCTACTGTTTATTCCAAAAACATTGTGCGTCTTTCGGAATTAAATTCTAAAAATATCACGTAAATTTCGTTACAATTTCTCAGAAACGATCATTGCGGGAAAATTGTGGGCCGGGACTACGATTTTTGAACGATCGATGCGATAAAACGATAGTTCGAGGAACGATAGAAGCGGGAAAATGTAACATTATTTTATATGGGATGTATTCGGGACCGAACAAAACGGACGATGCATCCGGGAAAACGATAGTTCCGGGAACGATAGATAGAGGTTTCACTGTAATGCCATACTACATGTGTGTGAGACTGATATTCTACAGCAGTTTTAACTAAAGTTTAAGGTAACTGTCATCTCTTTAGGGATAAACTTGATCCAGATTACCTTATAGCACTGGTTCAATGTATCCGCCTGCAATTTCTGACTCCTTAGAGCTTCGCGGTGTGCTATTGTGGAATCTTCAAGTTGTGCATGGAGTTGCGCATTCTGATTTCTAAGATCCTGCACTGTATCTAACATTTCCTGACACCTTTGTAAAACTCGTGCTCGGTCTTCCTGAACTGCACTGTTTTCTACTGAAAGAGTTTGCAACTTGGAACTGAAAACACAATTATATGAAACTAAAAATTAAAGCCTACTAATAATGAGAAAGAATCATTTTTAAGATATATATATATATTTTTAATACTATCATTTTTAAACTATCCACCTGTAAGCACATTTATAAACAGTATGGTATAGTATTTGGTCTGTGTATCCACCTTCAGGCATAAAACAATTGAAGTTAGTAATACTTAATGTTTTTCTTGGATGACACAAACAATCTAATTTCATTAAATTGATAATACATATCCAACAAAATAACTCACCTTTTACTAAATTTAAATATTCATTGACCCACATTTTGTAATTTACAAATTACAGCAGATTTATTCAAATGTACAGGAAATAAAAAATAGTTTGTAAATTAAAAATGTTCATAAACTCATCATTAATTCTGGATAAATTTGTTAAGCTGGGTGACTGTTTTGAAAGAATGTGTGAAGAATTACAAGCACATCAATCTTATTAACATTCCATCATTACAGCTATATTTCTCTAATAAAACATGTTCCATACATAACGGAATATTTTAAGTATTACATGTTTAAAGGAAGAGAACAGCAGGAACATGTAATTCCAGAACTTTGATAAATACTGTTCTGGGCTGAATCTATAACAATATCATCATGGTAGTTGTAACATATAAAGTTACTCCAATGCCTCAGCACCAATTTAGATAGTACAAAAAGGATGGAATAAAATCTCCACACATTCTCAGTTATAGTCAGTGCAGTAGTTTTTGGCCGGTGGAGAAGCTAGTGGAGCTGGCGGACAGGCCTACTCTGTGTACCTGAGGTGGCACGGTCAGCATATTTCTTTGGTTTGGGCATTCAGTCCAATAAGCTCCTCGGTGCAGTCAGCACTATACTATCGCACAAGTGACTCGCTCCTAGCATTCCCCTTGAAAATTTCACCGGCCAAAAACTACTGTGCCAACTATATCACGAAGATGATTGGTTAACATCACACTCTACTCCAAACAAAGGTGTTGAGTCAATTTTGGAAGCAATGAAATTTCTTGCATTAGATCTATGAAGAAATCAAGAGGATGAGCTGGACAGGACATGCAGAAATGAAAAATACATATAAAATTTTGGTGGAAAATTTGAATTTGGGGTTAAAACACTTGTGGGACCTAGCATAGGTGTAAGGGTAACATTATTAAAAGCATATCTTAAAGAAATAGGCTGTGTGGGTGTGGACTTGATTAGAGTGACTCACAACAGGGTAAATTGGTAGGCTCATCCTACCCTATTCAGACAGAACATAATCCCCAGATTTTACACTAATATTTTATATCTGACAGTAAGACAAAATAACCTGAAGACTAAAGCAATATTTCTGTATATATCACATGACCTATCAAAGCATCAAGAAACACAATTTCTAACACATGAGTAGATACAGGATAAAGATTTATTATTTTGAGTGCTAGGGTCAGGAACCATAATTTACATGGTGGTGTTTAGGCCAGGCGAGAGTTCAATCCATCCATTCACCGGTGTCAAGATGCATTCAACTGTCATGGCAAAGATTAAAAGATTATGGCATGTGTTTACCTTGTATCTTCCAGTTTACTTCTCAGAATTTCAGCTGTTTGTTTCAGCAGTGCCATTTCCTCTAAGTGATCCTCTTGAATGAAACTTGATGACCCATCATCCAGACGAGCTTTCTGTCGAAGTACACTCTGTGCTCTGACCTTGTAGCTTCCAAATTCAGATCTCAGGTCTCTGAGCTCTGCTTCACGCTCTGCCAAGCTCTCCTTTAATTCAGAAACATGTTCTTCCAGTACACGTACCTAAGAGATAGGAAATGCAAACAACTTACAGAACAGCATAACAAATCTGTAAACTTAATGTAACTGAGTGGACAGGATATAATTGTAGAAGTACGGTATCAACAAAATTTGCTACCCAGAAGGAACTAAGCATACCACTTCAATTCTGGCCTCCTTTGAAAATAAACACTGGAAGCTCTTAAATGTCCTGTTAGTAATCTGCCAAGAACGTATATGAACAGGTCCCAGTCCGAGAAAAGGATGGAAGGATCCTGTTCATATGGACCTGTCGTCAGACAGAACACTAATAATTATTTGGAACTAGAAGTTTAGTATTTTATATTAGCGTCGTAAATTAACTGAACAGAGATTACTGGGTACAATTAGACGGTGTTGACTTTCTGAGAATGCTGCACGAGAAATATAACCTTTCAATGTTTCACAGACTCCGCAGAGAACAACGGATTTCGTCATGTAGAAATAAGCATTTTGTGTTATTTTGCGTTTCCAGAAGAAGCTACTTATCTGTTATTCGTGTTGTGGTGAGCGGCTTAAAATACAAAACTCATTTTCATGGAAGTGTGGCTTATGCCAATGTAATTATAATTAGTCTCTCACGACGCTACAAAATAAGATCCTCATTTCTAATACCCTCTTCACTGTCTCACCCCTTCATGCCAATTGTGAACGTCAGAATTTTAATCATTGTTTTCCATCTGGTGTTCTTAGGCTAAGTGCGTCTATTTCAGGGGTGCCAAAAATGTTTATACAAATGAGTCAATAATTCGTGTGCTTTCAGGCTGCAGTATGAAAGCTTATTTCAATGGTTTTGTAATTGCGTCATATTGTGAATATTATATCAATTATTTGTTTTAATCCGTCTGATCACAATATAATTTTTTATTTAAAATTTCTTATAATTAAGATAATAAAATATCATTGATGTTCCATATCGATTGATCGATTTACATTTCGGAACATTTACACAACATGTTTCGGTTTTTATAAAACCATCATCAGGTGTAAAATATATCTAAGAACTTAAAACTCAATTATGATTTCTGTAGTATTTTGGTGATGTTTCATTACGTTTGTTTTTCCATAATATACCAAAATACTACAGAAATCATAATTGAGTTTTAAGTTCTTAGATATATTTTACACCTGATGATGGTTTTATAAAAACCGAAACATGTTGTGTAAATGTTCCGAAATGTAAATCGATCAATCGATATGGAACATCAATGATATTTTATTATCTTAATTATAAGAAATTTTAAATATTGTGATCAGACGGATTAAAATAAATAATTGTTATAATATTCACAATATGACGCAATTACACTATCTTAGTATTTATCTAAAAATTAATGTAAAATACAACAATAAAATAATTTTGAACTTAAGGATAACTTTTTTCACTTTTTATTCCCACTTTTCATCTGTAGACTACACATGTGACCAAGACTTGCAGTACTCATCAGCATCTTCCACTAAAATCAACATTTATTACCAGACCTATATGTTTATCCATCAGTTGACTACTTGTTTACAAATATGTGACAACAAATGTAAGAAATAAGAATGAAGAGATCTTAATTACTGATCACCTGCCACTTTCTTTATGAAAAATACTGGTAATGAATAAACATTTCATTATAAATGGTCTTATTGTGCATTTTTTAAAAACTTTACTATAAGGTGGTCAGCAATAAAAGTGTTATAATTTTGGGGGTAACATAATTATCAGGTTTATACCCTTCATGTAAAAAGCTGACAGCTTTAAAAAATCTCTGACCTGTCTGGTGAGACTATCCTGCTGATTCTGCCCACTTTCAACCAGTCTCTGTTTCTCTGTTGCCAGTTCTGACAATTGCAAGACAAGATTTTCATTTTTATCCTTGTGCTCTTCAATTTGCAACACAAGTTCCGAAAGTGATGCTTCACGTTTAAATGCAATAGTTTCAACTTCCAACAGCCTTGCTCTTGATGCATTCAGTTGGTCCTAAATATATAAAATATGTCTATTATATACATTAAGCACAGACCTATCATGTAATATCCAGTTTCCAGTAATTTACTCTGTACACATATAACAATTACATGAAGAGATTTATTATACAGAATTACAGAAACAAAACATTTCCACAACAAACCTTGACCTCCTTTGATCTCGCCTCTTCTGACTGTATTCTCTGTTCCATTAGTGAAATCTGTTCCTGAAGTCCTCTGCTAATGTCTCGTTGTGTCTCTAAGTGATCTTCCAGGTCTTTCACCTTTGATTTTTCTAATGCCAACTGCTGGGTTAAATCAGCCACTGATCTCTAACAATGTAAAGATCCACATATTACATAAAACCATAATAACGAAGAAAACTACTTACCTACTCCAACGTATTCCTTATTTTCTGTATGTAAATTATTAATTTCTTTACACATATATTGCACAGAAGAAAGTTTGACTATATTACCTTTATAACAATGGGTCTGCACCTGCAATATGCATTAACATCAAAGAAACCAAGACATACAAGACTAACTTACCAGTACACGACTATTGCATATAGCTAGATCCACTTCCTGATTTATAATGGAATGAAAACAAGAATGTGTCATGTTACAATCACTTTCACTCATATCCATCCTAATTACAGTGTTCACATTCATCCTACCATATCTCTTGCAATACTACACAGTCATGGTAGAGAAGAAACTGAATAATGAACGTAAGAGTCTGAACATATCATACCTCATAGTCCTCCATC